TGATGAACACCCGATGCTGCGAGCCCCAGGGCCAGGCGAGGGCTGCCCTGCAGGTGGTTGTGCGGTAAACAGACACCATAGCGGCATAGTTCACTGCCCCATCTGCTCGTCTCTGGGGGCCGGAGGCAGCTGGCAGGCAGGTAGAGGCCAGCTGTGGCTCCAGCTGTTGCGGGGTGGGAGCTGCCCGGCATGCTCCCCTTGCCTGTTGGAGAATGCAGCCACATGGCATGTCCTCCAGGCCACGGCAGTGCCCTGACCTTCCTCCGCTCTGGGCTCGTTGGAGGAGAGGTCCGAGCGCTTCGATGCGCCCCTTTACCCTTCCCAATTAGCCAGAGGACAGGAAACCCTCATTAGCGTTCCTTTGCCCTGAACCAGTTGGTCACTGCGGGATGCAAGGTGGAGCCTCAGAACATAGCGTAGCTGAGCTGGAGTGATGCTCTTGAACCCGATCAGGTCTTGCCCCCAGCCTTGATCTCTTCCAAAAGCCTTTCTTGCTTTTGCCGGCTCAGCCTGGGGCTGCCGAGGGAGAGGAGACTGCTCTGCCCGCCCGTGGAGTCGTGCTGACTCGGTTGTGGCGGGAGCCACGGTGCCATGAATTATTTGTAGCAACACCTTTTGCTTTTCCCCTCTTCTCCAGCAAGCACACTTATTTTTTTATTTTTTTTATCATCATCGTTGCTGTTGTTATTGTTATTTATTATCCCGTTTCTGCTCCAGTGCTGCCAAGAGACGTGGAGAGGCTTGGCTGGCATTCAGCGTGGTTACAATAAGCCCGAGCCCTCCCTTTTGTTCCGTACAGCTTGCTCGAGTGTTGTATAGATACCTCACTTTAGCTGTTTCTCTCCCTCATCTTCGGCGGCTCGGGAGGTTTGGGAAAGGTCAGCTCCTAGCTGTAGCTTTTTTTCTGCTCCAGACAAGTGCTGCTGTCATTGTTTGCCAGATGCCGTGCTGCGCCTCGTCTCTGCAGCGCTGGGGTGATTTAACCGGAGCCGTGCTTCGCTTTAGATCCAGTCTGCTCCCTGACCTCGCTGCGCAGCCTTGCCGTGTGCTTTTGTAGGCGGTTTTGAAGCACGGTCTTCAACAAGCGCTGAGAGATCCCACCTCCCCGCTGCAACCGGGGAACAGGCACAATAGGCTGCAGCCTCCAACGTCCCAAGCGGGGACTCCATCTGGGGCAAGCTCAGGCTGCCTCTGCTTCAACCACTGCCTTCCAGTGTCCGCCCTGCAGAGGTGTCCGTCGTAGCTGTCTCCAAAGCCTCCAGCTGCCGTGTTGCTGTGGAGAAGGCAGCTTTGGTCTCCATCGCATCCAAGCCCTGCCCTGGCATGTTCTGGCGGGTGATGTAGGAGACATACTGGTAGGAAAACGTGTGGTTGCTATGCTGGTGACGTTGTACAGATGTCACGAGAGGGGCAGCAGGCTGGCAGAGCCCTGGTCCCTCTGCCTGGCCCTGGTCTCTGGTGCTTGTCCCAGTCAGGCGGGCAGATAGATGTTTCCTTGCCGTTTCCTTGCCGGAGAACCATCTCTTCACTCTTATCTGCCCCGTCTCCTCTCCAGCTCGGGAGCGTGAAGGTCCCTTTGTTGTACCTTGTCCTGACACCCAGCAGAGCAGGACGCAGCCCCGGGCGCCTGAAATAGCAATGGGACTGGGAGGAGAAGAGCGACCTGCAGCCTCTCGCTTGGTTTGATAGCATGGTCTTCACCAGCACCTTCAGGGAATCAAATTTAAGAGGTCGTTGCATTTCTGTACTCTTTTATCTGCTGCCTGGGTTTTATTCGGGCTGTCGTGTACGGGCATTAAGACAAGAGCGCTTTGTGCATCCCTTATTGCTGTCTTCTGCCCATACTCAGCAGAGCGGGTCTGTCTGTAGTGGCTCCGTGAAGGATTGTTTGGTGCTGAGTACCTTGCAACTGGGCTGATAGCTGCTTCTTTTTGCTTCTAATTTCCCAACTTTTATTCCTTCCACATCAGCGATGGTTACGCTTCTTGCATCCTCCCAGGTAAAATTAGAGAGAGAGAGAGAGAGAGAGAGAGAGAGAGAGAGAGAGAGAGAGATGTTGGGGAAGAAGGAAGCTCCCTCCGAATTTCATCCTTCGCAGAGCTTGTTGGGTTGAGTCATCTTAGCAGGCGTAATAAACCTGTATCATCTCCTGGGTCTGGCAGGGGAATTAAGGCATTTTGTTTGATTCTTGTTGGTGTTCTGAGCTTGCAGCTGCATCACAGCGTTGGATGGGTGAGTTTCCAAAATCATCTGCTGTGAACAAGTGGGTTTCTTCACCAGTAGCACCGGCGGCGAGCAGAAGTGAAAGAAACTTAAACGACCGATTTGCTTGTCACAAATTGTTTCTGGTTTAAAGCATTTTACTTCCTCGCTTTCTCTGCTTCTCAGCCTCGTCGCTGCAAGCTGCGTCCTCGTCCGCAGGGAGGACTGATGAAGCGCGGCGTTTGGGGGGTGCACCCTGCCGTACCCCCTCTCTCTGTCCTGCCCTGGGGCAGCCGTGGGGCAGCCGGGCCATCCCCTGGAGTCGGGATGAGCTCCGAGGCACTGCGGGATGCGAGCTTCTCTCCCGGGGATGGAGCTTGTTGGCAGGGAGTGGGAAGGTGTCTGTCAAACACCGGTGCTGTAAAAGCTCATTTTTACAACATTCAGTTGATGCAGAATGGGAGGTAAATAAATACCCTTTATAGCATCTCTTTTGCTCATGGCCTGTTATGTCATTGCCTGTTATGTCCCTAATGTGTTCACGAAATACAATTCTGGGGGCAAGGGTAGAATGAAAGTTCAATTCTGATAAAATATCAGTTTTCTTTATGTGGCTTGGCCCAATTAACTTTATAATACTTTGTGGCCTTTTTGTTATTTACCATTGCTTTTATCACTTCAGATTGAGAGATTCTTAAATATGTGTGGGTAAAACAATTGCAGGGAGGATTACTGAAAAGGTAACAAGACCCGGTTTAGCTCCAAATCTGAATGAACCATTTTAGAAGTTTCTTTGAAGAAGGCTTGTGAAGAAATTAAAACATTGCTTATGGGTTTGACTCTTCCACACCCCCCGCCTTTTTTTCCTCCCTTCCTTTTTCCCCCAGTCTCTAAGACGGCTCCATCTCAGCCTCCCTTGGGACTGTCAGAGCTGATTCTGCACTACACAGTTACCCTTCTGCTCCGCAGACCCGCGCCTTGGGGTGGGGGGACGGGGTGAATCCCCGCTTGTCCTGCATTTCTCATTCCTCACTTGCACGCCTCCCCTGCACCCTCTAAACTCTGAGCTCAACGGGCTTATCTGTATTTAAAAAAAAAAAAAAAAAGAAAAGGAGAAAAAGAGAGAGAAAGAGCAGCAATGGAAAGAGCAGGAGAGACTATCCAGAGCGCTTCATAAAAATGATGAATTGCTTTTAGATATTGGGCAGGAGAGAAAGAGAGTTCTTTTTTTATTTGATGATATTAGTCTTTTAGCGGTGCATTGTTGGTGTGCGTATGAGCTCAAAATCTCGAGGCAGTCAAAGGCAAACGCCCAGGAATTGAAGTGTAAATGAGCCACTGTCGAGCATTTTATTTTGCCTTTTATGATTTCTCTTTCTCTCATTATGTAGGTCAGTCTCCGTTTCTAACGTATGCGGTGTGCGTGGGAGAGCGCGGGGCGGTACGGTGCGCCCGGGGGTGGCGGGAGGTGCTGGCGGTGCGGTGGGTGCCGGGACGGGGAGCGCGCTGGGCGCAGGGACAGGGTGCCGCAGAGGGTGCGCGGTGCACGCCTGCCGGTGTGCGCGTACGTACGTGCTCAGCGGTGCGTGTTGTGAGCGGAGGGCTGTGCCCGTGGGCAGAAAGCTCTGGCATCTCTTGCTCCCCCATCTCACCTGCAGACCACTGAGTCTGGAGATACCTGTCCTCTCCTTTCCTCCCTCCAACCGAAGAATTACATTTCCTACCGCATTAGCAATTCAGATGCTGAACTGGTCTGTGCTGGCTGCTCTGATTAGTGGATGTGATGAAGAGATTTGTGCATCTCCTTTAGAGAGACACCAGCCACGTGATTCGTCTGCTTTGCATAAATGGCAATGAATAAAGCAGCGTGTGTGTGTGTGTGGGACCATCTGTCCCACACTGGGACAGGTGAGGATGTTTTCTCCATTCCTTGACTTTCCTTTCTCTTGCTGCTTAGCAGAAAACACGTGTTGTGGAGGAATCACAAAGGCTTGGGCAGAGCAAGTTCTTTCTGGAGCCCTGGGGACGCTCCTCCGTGTCTGTAGTGGGGTCAGAGACAGGTCCTTGCTGCCTTGACCTCCCTGCTGTGGTGCAGAGCTGGTGACAGACCTTTCTTTCTCCAGTTTGCGCTGGCAATAAGCAGAACCGGCAGCCTGGAGTGAGAAGGGGCACAGAGGAGGCAAGAGGGCTGACCACGGGTTTGTTAGCTGGGTTTGGACCATAGAATCATGGAACGGTTAGAGTTGAAAGGGACCTTTGAAGATCATCTAGTCCAATCCCCTGCCCTGGGCAGGGACACCTCCCACCAGCCCAGGTTGCTCCAAGCCCCGTCCAACCTGGCCTTGAACACCTCCAGGGATGGGGCAGCCACAGCTTCTCGGGGCAACCTGCCCCAGGGGCTCACCGCTCGCACAGGAAAGAATTTCTTCTTAATATCTAACCTAAATCTACCCTGAGCCACCTCTACATCTCCAACATACCTTTGGTGTCCCTGGAGAAGGACCCAACTTAACCACCTGGTTCCCAGCAGGCAGCGAGAGGCAGCGTGACATCCTCACCCTAAGCCGGGGCAGGACCTTGCTGCACCGAGAGCATCCCCCTCTCGCTGGCACTGCCCTCGCGGTCCTGGTCCCCCAGAGGGCTGCAGCCCCTCCTGGAGCCCGGGTGGTGGGAGCAGCTCTGCCAGGGGACAGAGGGAAGACAACGGGTGGGCACATGGACCCGGGTGCTGGTCTGTACCCCTCCTGTTGGCAGAGGAGCAGCCGCAGCTTCACCTGTCTCCATGTCTGTGCCCGCAGCGTGTCGAGGGATGCTGTGCGGGTTCGGGGCGGTGTGCGAGAGGAGCTCCACCGACCCCTCCCAGGCCTCCTGCGTCTGCAAGAAGACAGCCTGCCCCATCGTGGTGGCTCCTGTCTGCGGCTCGGATTATTCCACCTACAGCAACGAGTGTGAGCTGGAGAAGGCCCAGTGCAACCAACAGAGGCGGATCAAAGTCATCAGCAAGGGACCGTGTGGTGAGTGCAAGAGCAGACTCTCCTGCTTTCCGGAGGTGACCGCGCGAGGAGGCCAAGGAGACTGGTCCTGAGCTCATGTCATCACTGCGGTGCTGGTGGTGTCGTGGGGGATGGGGACAGGTCCGATGGGAAGGGACGCTGAGAGAGTCACCAGCTCTGCCTTGGTGATCAGTAGAATTTAATAAGCAGGCAAACTGGTGGCCAAAGGCGGTTCAAGAGGTGCGTGGCAGCCCAGTGGGGAACAGCTCTGCCTTCTGCACCACGCTGCCTTCCCGCAGCGGGTCACATCTGCCACGGTGAGGGAGTTGGAGTTGGAGGGACCAGGCGTACACAAGGGTTGGGGGGGTTGAGGAAAGCCCTTCCCCAGCCTGGCGTTCACCAGCTGTGAGCACGGAGCTGTGGAAATGAGACCCCCATCTTCTCAGCTCAGAGTAAATTAACTTGACCTTTCTCTCGTGCGGCTCTCTGGCTTGCAATAAATCTGCGCCCGGCACTCCTGCTGGGGCTTGTCAGAGGGGAGAGAGTGCCGAGTGATTTATTTAAAATAATAATCGTTAAAAAAAAAAGTGACAAATAAAGGAAAAATAAAAGAAAACAAGCTGGCAAATAAATTTTGGCCCTTCCCCATCAGTGAGGAAATTGCTCCTTGAGCTCTTCCTCTAATTATGGTTTGCAGGAGGTGCCTTAAGGACCCTCGTTTGGCTCGTTTGCTGAAGCAAGAGGCTCTCGGAGAGCATGTGCGGGGAAGGGAGCTCACAGCAGTGAGGCCGAGAGGTTTAGATAGGAGAGGCTCTGCTTCAAGTGCCAGGTGGGGAACGAGCCCCATTCCACCCGTGCTGTGGGTTTGGGGCTGATCCTACCCACCTCCGCAGACATCGGGGTGGCTGAGCTCCCTGCTCAGCACCGGGTACACGGCACTGGCTTGAGTGGACAGGAAGGGAAGGACATCCATTGCCGTCATCTACGTTTCTGGCTGCTTGGAGGGACTGGGGCTGTCTAGGTGGATATCATGGTGTGTCGGGCTTATTTGTCCCATGAGAGGAGCGAGCGAGCAAGAGTGGCACCTCTGCGCTCACGCCTGTGCCGTGCCCCCTCCTCTCTCCCGCAGGCTCCAAGGACCCCTGCGCGGAGGTGACCTGCAGCTTTGGCAGCACGTGCGTCCGCTCCACGGACGGCCAGTCCGCCAAGTGCGTCTGCCCATCGTCCTGCAGCGGCGTGCCCGAGAGCACGGTGTGCGGCAGCGACGGCAAAGACTACCGCAGCGAGTGCGACCTCAACAAGCACGCCTGCGACAAGCAGGAGAATGTTTTCAAGAAGTTCGACGGCGCCTGCGGTGAGTCCTCTGCCTCCCCCCTCCCTGGGGAGTTATCGCTTTAAAAACATTTCCTTCTGCGTCAGGATTATTGAGGGCAGACCAGCGGGAAACGGCAGGGGTTGGGGAGAAAAAAAACTTGCCTGCTGTCACCAGCTCGAAAATGCGGCTTGGGCAGAAAAAGGTCAGTCTGTGGGTGACGGTTTCTGAAACGCAGACCGAGCCGGCGCTTCCCCCGTGGCGTTTGGTTGTGAACATTTCTGCTGGGGACCCACTGACCTAGAGAGAAGTAGCAGCATCTGTGCCACCTCCTTTCCCTCCTGCCCTCTCCCCTGGCTGGAGGCCGCCGGCTGCGTGTTTTTTGGCAAGAAGCCTGCTGGTAGCCGGCGTCCCGGGGCTCGCGGGCAGGCAGCTCCCTCTAATTAAAGGAGCCCGACAGGCGCACATCCCAGAGCGCAAACACAGTCCTGCCACCCCGAGGATGGCTTCCTCTTTGGCTAACGATGGCTGTGGATACTTGTAATTAAAAGCAACTGTCTTCATTTGGAAAACCATGAGATCAGCCAGGACACGTGCCAGACCAGTGTTTGTCCCCGGGGAAAGGAGTGTGTTTGGGCAGGCTGCGAACCTGGAAGAGTTTTAATTGCGCTTTGGCTGCTCAGTCCCAAGTAGGGCGAGATGGGCACAAGTGGGAGGTGCGAAAGAGGTGATGCCACGCCGGGTGCTCCTGGTTTCTAGGGCAGAAAGGAGGCTTTGAGCTTCACTGCTCCTTTGGGATCCTCTTGATTTTAGCTGGGCATCAGCAGAAATTCAGGTTGAGCAGCCCGGCTGTAGAACCCAAAGATATTGGAAGGCGTTTGGACTCTATTGGGTGTGCTGTAAGGTTTGAGGATGTACTGCAAGGCAGGGGAGAGAGTGGGGATGAGCAGTGCAGGCAGAGCACATCTCAAATATCCTCAGCATGCAGTCCCAGAGGTATGTCTGTGCGTCTGCCTCACCCCAACCCCTCTGATGTGGTCCCCATCTCCTCAACTATACCTCATCCCTGCCCCGCTACAGCAGCCTTATTTACCCACAGCTCCTTGAGTCCACGCAAGATATTCTTGTGATTTTGTTGGGGTTTGTAGAGGCCTCCAAGGACGTAACACGTCCCTGGCTGTCTGCCGGTGCGACTGCGGGGCAGCAGCGAGCACGGGCAGCTCTTGCCGGAGGGGGAATGGGAGACGGATTGGGTAGGTCCTGTGGGAGCTCCTTTGTCTGCTTTGTTTCCATGATTACCGCACTTGCTAAAACGGATAAAGCAAAAGAGTTCAGCTGTGACCCTGTCCTAGGCCAGCCTTCCCCATGGGATGTGGGGGTGACCAAAAGGGAGCTCCCTGGGCTGCTTTCGAGAAGCCGGGCAAACGGGGGACAGTATTGTTTCCTCCCCTTGGCGGCCTGGGACTGTGGTCAATGCAGGGATTTCGGACTGGTAGGATTGAAGGGTGGAAACATCTGATTGCGTTTCTGCAATTGCAGAAAATGAATCAGCACTCTCCAGGTACCTGCTTGACAAGGAAGAGAAAAACCCAGGGCTAGAGTAGGGATTAGCGATCAGCCGGCACCTGTTTTGCCCATCTCTTTGGTATGCTAATATGAGCTAAGCTCATCAGAGAGAATGATCCAGATAAGCCCAGATTGGAGCAGTGGGGCAAGGCAGCGTGTGGCCCTGGCTGCCTTCGGGGCTCTTCCAGCCCACTCTGGGAAGAGTGGGAGGAGCAGGATGGGAGTACGGAGCATCTCGCAATGCCCAGGGAACACCCCTTGGACTTGAGAGGTTCATGTGGGTCGGAGAGGGAGAGCCTTGTCCCTTAGACAGACGGGAGTGAAGGCAGCTCAGGATGGGGAAAAAAGGCAGAGCTCGACCCAACCATCGCTCACGTTGGAAAGGGCGCGTGTCCTCGGTGTGTGCGGCTCAGTAACAAACGAGTCCTCCCGAGTACAGAGCCCTACAGATGTCCAGTCCTGAGAAAGAGCTGAGCACACGTTGAGTGCTCCAGGGGAAGGTATGGAGGCTCTTGGGGCCAACTGGGAGGGAGGAGGACAGGCTGGGAAGCACCTCTGGGTACGGCATGAGTGTGCCTAACTGTCTGCCCTGGCTCTGTGCGCAGACCCGTGTAAAGGCGTCCTCAACGACATGAATCGTGTTTGCCGGGTGAACCCCCGCACCCGAAGGGCGGACCTGCTCTCCCGCCCCGAGAACTGTCCCCCAAAGAGGGAGCTGGTGTGCGGCGACGACGGGGTGACTTACGACAACGAGTGCGTGATGGGGCGCTCGGGGGCCATCCGAGGACTGGAGATCCAGAAGGTGCGTTCAGGGCAGTGCCAGCATCAGGGTAAGTACTTCTCTGCTTCCTGGGGAACAGGAGCATTCGGGTTCCTGCCCTTCCCCGCCGCTCCGTCCCGTGCTCTTGGCAATGAGAGTATACCCCCTTCCCCTGTCCCCGGGGTGGGTGCGAGCGGTGCCGTCCTCTCTCCTCCCAGACAAATGCAAGGATGAGTGCAAGTTCAACGCTGTCTGCCTGAACCGCCGTGGCACCACTCGCTGCTCCTGCGACCGCATCACCTGCGACGGCGCCTACCGGCCTGTCTGCGCCCGGGACAGCCGGACCTACAGCAACGACTGCGAGCGCCAGAAGGCTGAATGCCACCAGAAGGCTGCCATCCCAGTAAAGCACAGCGGACCCTGTGGTAAGCACTGGTGCCGCCGGGTTGGTCGCCCGCAGGAACACTGGTACCCCCACACTTCTCACCTCCCAGCCCCAGCAACCAATTTAAGCCCAGCCTGCGTCAGTCCCTTCTGGGCAGGCAACGGTGCTCGTGTTGATGCTGGGAAGATGCAGGTAAGTTGTGACTGGGTGCCCACCGTCTCAGCAAGCCACAGGCACTCTTCAGTCTCGCGGCCGATAAGCCCTGATTATCCGTTCCTCCCTGTTCTTTTTCCTTCCAGCAGTCCTCGTGTGCGTTTGTGCGTGTGCACGTGTTCCTCCTTGGTCTTGTCTCTGATGTGCTCAGTAAAACGGGGAAGAATCATTTGTGTTTAAACAGTACCGAAGTGTCTGTTGCTGTCCAGTTGGTTTCTCTCATTCACCGCCACCGCCAGGCGCACGTTCACCACCACGCAGTTCCCGTGCAGCCCACGCCATTCATTTCTCCTCCCAGGGTAGTGCCAGTCCCCAAGCTCCTTCCATGCTTCCCCCTCCATGCCTGCCCGCTTCTCTCAGCTCCAGGTACTCTCCGTAAGGAACTCTTCCCAGCGCGCCTGCTCTCTGGATGGCTCGCCGTGTCTTTGTCTCGTCTCTGGGAGAAGCTTTTGACAAATGGACGCTTTTTTCAGGCTTACGTGATAGGATGGGCCTTTGGGTCCCTAGGATGTCGGGAACGTCCAATTTTAAAATTACTGCACAGAAAATTAAGGAGGTTAAACACTGTCGCTGGATTGATTTGTGTGAGTTGAAAGGACTGTTCACTTTCGCTCAAATTGGGTTTTACTAGCTCTAGGACCGTGTGCTATTATTTAAGCTGGTGTTTCATAAGGTATCAGATGTATCAAACCTTCTGAAGTACTTGGAAATTAAGCCCTGTGTTGTGGGTCTGTTTTGTTGGCTTTGTGCTCCTGCGGTAGGTTTCTAATGCTGCCAGGCCCAGCTGCTTGAAAACGGTTTGTCAGGCTCCCAAAATCACACTCGATAGAATCACAACTGTTCTTTTTAATCATCTGTTTCGCTGTGTTGCTGGTGGTTGAAATGATTCGGAGTCAGTTCCCCATGTTCTCCCTACGGGGAGGGCAACAGAGGCACCTTTCAGTCTTCTCTCTCCCCGGGAGCTGGTGTTGGATGGCAACCAGAAGCCTTGCTGGGAAGCCGTGTGCTCCGGCAGCTCCTGGTGCTCATTTTCCTGCCTGTGTTATGTCGCTGTGGAGCTTTGCTGGAGGTGTGACCGGCCTCTGGGGCTGGCATGGGAAGGGCCGGGGCTGCCCCGGCGCAGGGGAGGGGAGGGCGAAGCGAGGTGCTTCACTGGGCTCCCGAGGCAGCTCTGGGGCAGTGGGGCCAGGAGGTGGTTGGTGGCCGGGCTGTGGTGCCCCGGGCTCTCTCCACACCCTTTTCTGTTCCTTCTTTAGGGTCAGGCCCTTGCTAAGGCTTCCCGAATTTCTAGGGCGAGCGGAGAACTCGTGCTGATAGTTACTCTGCTGTCAGACGTGTCTTTTCCACCACGTTCAGTAGAGTGAGGCCAGTGGACAGTAGGATATGGTCCCTGTGCAGCTGCTGTTCCTCTCTCCATCTTCCTCTCTTTGATTTTTAGCTTCCCCCCAACTTCTCTTCCCCCAGGTGAGGCCCGCGGATGTGCATATCTGCTTTCAGGAGCTACATCCTTGTTGGGTAGGAGCAAACAACGCCTGTCATCTGCGGGGAAGTAAATCAAAGCTGGGGCTCTGTCTGTCAAAGCCTGGGATTTCAAAGTCCCCACGACAGCTCCAGGCTGCCCTGTAGCAAGTCACCATAGAATCACAGAGTGGTTTAGGTTGGAAGGGACCTTGAAGATCATCCAGTTCCAACTCCCCTGTCATGGGCAGGGACACCTCCCCCCAGCCCAGGTTGCTCAAAGCCCCGTCCAGTGTCTCACCACCCTCAAAATGAAAAACTTCTTCCTAATATCTAATGTAAATCTCCCCTCTTCCAGTTTGAAGCCATTCCCCCTCGTCCTATCACTACCTTGTAAGGCAGGAGGTGTGGGCAAGCCTTTGGCCACCCCATCCGCTGAGGAAAGCATCTTCTCTCTGAGCTCATTGCTGCCCTTTGGGAAGAAAGCACGTCCTCTTCTGTGTCACCAGTTCAGACTCAACGCGAGGTGGGAAATGGATTTAGAAATGGGGACGGGGTGGCGATGTTGCTTGCCAGCATGTGTGTCAAGACAGGTCTTCTCAGCATAAGCACTGCTGGTGGCTCAAACTTCTCTCCTGGCTGAGGCTTTTTGGGATGCAGGGATGGGATTCGTGGGACACTTAGCAGTGGGTGAGACCGGGGGGCTGAGGGCACTACGGGCTCCATCTGCACCCAGCATCCAGGGTGGGGAGCGTGGTGAGTTCATCCGTGCCTCTGTGGGGATACAGGAGATGCACGGAGCTGGGGAAGGGCAGGAATAGAAAGCCGGGGGCCGGTAGTATGATCGCAGTGGTCTAACCTGAGTTCTGCTGCTGTCTTTTCCAGCAGCAAGGTGAAGGAGGCAAAGCCAAACAAAACAGTCCAGGTCCTGTGTTTAATCCTTCTCTACTTTTACACCACGATGGGGCAGCTGAGAAAGAAGGGAGGGGATGAGACCGATGTGGACAGGAGGTGGAGGGAAGGTGTCTGTAGTTGCATCTGTCTCTTCCTCCCTGCCTCTCTCTGCTCGCTCTCTCCCGCTTTCCTTCTCCCTCCGCTCTCTCTCTCTTTCCTTTTTCGTCTGTGTCTTGTGTTTTCAATGGTGCCTGTTTTGAGGAAGGAATTGTTGTTTACACCACGATGGGGCAGCTGAGAAAGAAGGGAGGGGATGAGACCGATGTGGACAGGAGGTGGAGGGAAGGTGTCTGTAGTTGCATCTGTCTCTTCCTCCCTGCCTCTCTCTGCTCGCTCTCTCCCGCTTTCCTTCTCCCTCCGCTCTCTCTCTCTCTTTCCTTTTTCGTCTGTGTCTTGTGTTTTACAGTGTTGCCTGTTTGGAGGAAGGAATTGTGTCCTCGCAGCACCCTTCTGCTCCCTACCCGGACATCTCTGCTAGGAGGTCGACTTTCTCCCCTTCTCCGTGGCCAGTGACAGTCCTGGCCTCTTCTCACTGCTCCCCTCCTCTCTAGTTTTGCTTGAGAGCCCCTGGGATGGAGAGATTGCCCTGGTTTTGCTCCCATCCCTCGCCCCAAACCCTTCCTGCTGGATTGGAAATGCCTTGCAGTGCAGTGGGTTCTTGTCCGGTGCTCGCTGTGGCTTGACCCTTCGAGGCAAATGAGAGTGGGAGCAGAGGTGGGTGCTGTGACCCCCCCCCAGAGTCCATAGCAAGCCCCTCTTTGGCCGATACATCAGTCTGGACTGCTCCCGGTTGATCTTACCTCTCCTTTTGCCCCCAACTAACCCCCCTTTCTTCCCCACCTCCTCTTTCCCAGAGACTTCTGCCTGCCTGGGACTGTGATGCTTGTCCCTTCGCTCTCCGTAGTGTGTGTCATGCTTGTCTGTGCAAGTCCAGTGGGCAGGGGCTCCGCAGGGATTGCAGCTCCTCTCCCCAGTGTCCAGCAAAGCACCAAAAGTGCCTTTTGGAAGCCCTGAGGGGCTTTCTGTGCTCAGATGTGGTTCTTCTCTAAGAATTCCCCCCCCGTGTCCCTGTGGAGTTGGTGCTGGAGCCCCGCTGGGTGTCGCGGGCACGGATCGATGGGGCACGATGAGTTACGAAGCAGCTTCAGAACCTCTTCCCCATATCCCCAGGCAAGGCTGGCAGGAGAGCTCGGTGTCCCCAGGGCTTGGTTAGGTTTCTGCACAGCCTGGCAGCAGGTGAGGGCTCATGCCCTTGAACCTGTCGGGGTGCAGAATGAGCACGTTTGCTCCGTACCTCTGCTTCCCTGCCTGGAGAAGATGGAGAAGGGCCAGGAATCAAAGCGGGTCTTGATTTGTAGCACAGCCTAAGGTCCTTGCTCGGTAGGTCCTCAATTATATCCACCCACGTCAGAATTGGTGCCAAAACTCCCATTGACATCTGCAGGTGCCCGGGGCTGTGTGGGAAATTTCACAGGCTGAGGTTCAGGCTGCGAAGGAACTTCATGTGCTGCAGCTCTGCAGGTTTGCTTGCTTAAGAAGGGCGAGAAATGTCAGGGCAGCGTTCTCCATCAGGCCTGCCACCTCCCTACGCTCTCACTCGCCGCTCACTTGCTCCCCGAGACAAGAGTGTGAATTTGGATTTCAAATGAGCGCATGTAATTGCTTCGTGCCCAGCTCGTGGCGTCCTTACTGCCTAATTGCGTCCAGCAAAGGCGCGTTCTCCATGCGAGCCTGTGACGCTGCACCGCAGTCGTGTCCCCCCCAACACAGAGGTTGTTTTTCAAAAAGTGAAACGCAAGCGGGAGATGTGAGCAGCATCGCAGGGCAGAGCACAGCTGGGAGCGGTTCCTGGTCCTTGGGAACTGCTCGGGAACTTTTCAGCTGCGGGGAAGTTCAACGGGGATTGTGGGATTGCGGGAAGTTGGGGACACAGTTGAAAAAGCTGCGTCAAAGGAGTGGCCGTGTGCCTGAACTGTCGCCTTCTTCCCTGTTTCTTTGCAGACCGTTGGCTCTAAGTTTTGACTCGGCAGGCGCTTCCCAAAGACCCAGTTCCAAAATTCAGGCTTGCCTGTGCCCATGCTATGGGGCCGTTTTCTCCCTGGTTGGCAGCGTGCAGCCGGACTCCTGGGGGGTCAAGCCTTGCTCTTGCTCTGTAGATAAGCCACCATGGTGCTAGCAGGAGCCAAAAATGGACCTGTTGCCCCTGTCCACTGTGTGCCACGCCAGCGGGTTCCGGAGGGCTTTGTCTTTCCCACCGCCCTCCGGCTCTGTGCTTGCATCGCTGTTTGGTGTTGGTGGGGCTGCGCTGTCTCTGCCTGTTGCATCCATCTCGCTTCGGCCGCGTTGTCTGTTCCTCATACCTGTTTTGTCATGTGTCCTCGTCAGTGTTCAGCACGGATTAAACCTGTGTCCTTTCCTTGCCCCAGGTCCTCAGGGCTTTTCTCTTGAGTCGCAAGAAGGGGTCGTTGGGTCAGTGCTGGGTCTGTTCCCAGCAGCACGGCCGGTCCTGCCTTTTAGCTGCCTGTCTTGGCGTCTGGATGGTGGAGGACATCCCTGGAGGGTCATGCCTGCCTTCAGCAAGAGGGCTGGGGACCGGGTGGAACCGCAGGGCTTTCCCTGCGAGCAGTTGCAGAGCTGTACCAGGGAGTGGGACTCGGCCTTTTCTCTTTGCTGTCACCAGCGGGGTTGGCCGCTCATCTCATCGTCACTGCCGGGCATCTTGCAGGGAAGGTACCACTTGCTCGACCGGCTTTGATTAAGCAGCTCCAGTGAGTGAGCAGAGGGGATGGCTGCCTCTCAGCCTCCAGCCCACGCTGTGGGGCATTACCCATCCCCAGGGAGCCTCGGGGCTCTGCTCCTAGAGCCACGTGCCCGAGGACCGGCCCGAAGCAAGGACACCGGGTCTCTTCACCCTGCCGCACAGCAGGTCCCTGGCCCTTCCAACACCAGCTTGCGCGAGGAGGGGAAGGGAGCTGGAGCTGCTGGGGAGAGGAGAGAGACGGGCTGTGTGTGAAGCCAAATTGTAGAATGTCTGAAGTTGGAAGGGACCCGTAGGGATCGTTGAGTCCAACTCCCTGCTCTTTGCAGGACTGCCTAAAACTAAACCATATGACTAAGAGCGTTGTCCATGCAGGTGTCCTCTCCAGCCAGATCTTCCTGGGTGGGACCACAGGGGGTGTTAGGATGAGCTATTCAGTGTGATGCTGAGGATGTGGGACCTCAGTGAAGGGAACTACCCCTGTGTGAGCTTTTTGGCTACTGAGGGTTCGGCAGCCAGTGCCAGGTACCGCGTGACGGTGTAGCGAGTGTCCTGGAGGCACCGAGACCCACACTGAGGAGGGCTTTGTGCTGTCTTTTGCCTTTCCCTCTGCCACAGAGCTGGTCATTCAGATCCCACTTCACAGGCAGGCTCGTGGCACCACTGCTTCCCGGGTAAAGAAGTGCCGGGTCACCTCCTGGCAACGAGGGACCTCACTCTGTGTTGCCCTCCCTCGGCACATGATGCTCATTCTTGACGCTGGCTGGGAGCTGCTGGGGAGACCCAGACATGGGGGTTTGGCACAGAAACCCGTGGGGCTGATCCCACCTCTGGCTGGGATGGAGGAAACGAGGCGGGAGTCCCGTTCCTGGCGTGCGGGGAGAAGATCTTGTGCCTGCTTCCCATCCCTAACCTCTGCCAAGCATGGGGAAGATGCTGAGCTGGGCATGTCGGGGGGGCATGGAGGGTGCAGGGGCTGGGCTGGTGCCAAGGCCAGGAGCTCTGTGCGTTTGCCACGGCTTGGGGGAGGCAGGCGGGGGGCTGCGGCTGGGGATGCTGGCATGTCTTGCTGTGCACAGTGCCCCGGGGGAGCTGGAGGAACCGCGGACTGAGACCGGTGCCTTTCTCTCCTGTCCACTCTACAGACTTGGGGACACCCAGCCCGTGCCTGAGCGTGGAGTGCACTTTCGGGGCCACGTGCGTGGTGAAGAACCAGGAGGCCGTGTGCGAGTGCCAGCAGGTGTGCCAGGGCCGCTACGACCCCGTGTGCGGCAGCGACAACCGCACCTACGGCAACCCCTGCGAGCTCGACTCCATGGCCTGTGTCCTCAAGAAGGAGATCAAAGTGAAACACAAAGGGCCCTGCGGTAAGAGCCGATCTCTGGGGCTTCCTCCTCCTGCTGCTGGCCACAGCTGGGCTTGTTTGCAGCCCTGAGCGTGGCCCCAGCCGTGGGGAGATGGGGCTGTTGGGGTGTCTTTGTGCTTTGGTTGCCACCACGTAGCGTACGCGACTCAGACCCACACACCGCAGTCCCGTCTGTGAGCGCTCTCTCTGTGCCGGCACAGCTTTGCCAGTGAGAAAGTGGTTTCGGAGAGACACGTCCTGAGCTGGTCGGGTTCTCCTGGGATAAAATCCACCAGGATGGTCAGGTAGGGTTAGGCTCATTGCAATTTTGTCCAAAATACGGTCTTTCAGCCCCTAACCTTCAGGCTGGCTAGCAGGAGCTGGTGCCTGGCTTTCCACCCGGGGCTGGTGCGGCATAGCGGTGCCCCTCTCAAAACCGGGCTTAGTCCCTTACAGTCGTTTCCCCACTGAGCTGCGCTGTGCAGTCCTACTTGGGGAACATGCTCCTGAGCTGTAAGGTCCTTGAGACAGCCCAGAAAAGGAAGACCCTTCCTCCAGAAAAGCAAAACCCCCTCCAACCCGCAGAGCTCCTCGCTGCAGCTTAGCAGGGACACCAGTGGGGTTTGGGTCGGGAGAAAATGCTGCTACCAGCTCCACGCAGTTACGGGAGAAACCGTGAAGGATGCAAATACTTCAGCTGTCGGGCACACGCTGTTATGGATTGAAGAACCCACAACAATTTATTGTCGCTTAGACAATTATTCTATTACCTGATGAGCCCTTCCTACCCAGGAAGGGGTATCGGGAAAAACGAGGAAACCCGAGGGCTGAAATATAAACAGATTTAATAGAATGTGACTAAATAATTAACGTTACTAACACTAAAGAGCCAATATTGATCCCTATACCAATATAAAGTATTACGAGGATTATACTCAGCCCATTCTATCCATAGGAAGCCGTGCGGTCCCAGCAGTGACAGCAAATGTCAGACACTGTGAGCGCTGCGGCTTCGGGAGGAAGGGAAGGGCTCAGGGCTCCGGCACTGGGGCATGAAGTTCTCAGGATGGCAGCCATCAAGGAAGAGGAAAAACTCCTCAGCAGACTTTATAATTTATATTGAATGTGATGTTGATGGCATGAACTAACCCTGTTGGACAACTTGGGTCAAGTGTCCGGGTCTCGCTCTTCCTCATCCCCACACCTGGTGAGCTTGAAGACACTGAGACCTTGAAACCCACACACCGTAGCTGGCTAGAAAGTAAATATTTTCACGAATTTAGATGCTAGAGCCTTCTAAAAACGGTTTTCCCCTAGCATTAGAAGAGACCTTACTGCAAAGTAAAATTACGGGAAGAGAAATCAATCCTGTGTCGCTCAAACCGGGACACGGGCGCTTGAGTCTGTGCCCAGACTGCCTCGGGCAGTCCCTCTCCCGACCTGCGGAGCCCAGCGCGGCCGCAGCCTCGGTGCTCTCGATAGAAACCTCCCGGCCAACAGTCCGCACGAACCCAGCGGGGGGTTTGTTGCATCTTCCCTCCCCCATGCAAAGGCGGCAGCTGCCGTGTGAAAGGAAAATAAGAAAAACCCATCTTTGAGCCAAGTTCCTCCTGAGTTGAATGGCAGGGGAGGGAAGAGGGGGGGTTTGTCTGAAGGGGAGAATGAAGCCGTGAATCACTAAATACCCGGGAGTGAGGAGATGTGCTGTCCGGTCTCTTCTGCAAGGAGTGATAGCTCCTTTGCAAGTGAGTTATTACGAAGATAAAAGTCTTTTCTGACCCGAGCCCGCGCGTGTGTGCTGTGCGTGTGTGTGTGTGTCGGGCTGAGGATCCCGCTGGGGGAGGTGGCACGGTCCGAACCGGTGCTATGTTATACCTGCGTCCAGCCCTGCTGGCACCCTGATAAACTGGGGGAGGACAGTACCCCCCTTCCCAACCGACCACCTCCTCCCGCCTTGCCACGTGTGCATCCCGCCGCCTCTCTCCCCGGGGGAGACTGCCCGCTTGCCGCCCGGGATGCTGCGCTCCTTCTCCCAAGGCTGAGAGTGATTTATCACTCCTTGGAATTACACTCAGCCGCTGCTCTCTCTCCCGCCTCCTATTTAGCTGTAACGGCATACAGCTCTGGTGACATTTCATCACGGTTACTCCTGGCCCTGATGGCTTTTACAAGTAGTTATTGCCTTTTTGCCTCCGAGCCTGACTCTCCCTCCTCCTGCAGCCCTTGCCTCCGCTCCTTGCCCTGTGCCTTGCAGCTCCCCA